CCCCCCTCCCCTCCCCTCTCCTCTTCTGGGTATCTTCTTTTTTTTTTCCGCAACTCTGTAAAAGAGGGGTTTGCCCTTGACACTGTACGCTAGGATTTGAACTCATGATCTGTTTGTTAAGCACCAGTACTTTGCCCAGCAATTTTTTTGTGACATGGCAGTGCTCACGCCACGACTAACGGGATGTACTGGGGCCTGCGACTTTGTGCCGAATGCATCCAGGGAAAAACTGTCGTGGGCACTGCTTGTTTTGCCGGGATTTTGTTTTTGCAAAACGGAAGCCTGCTACATCCTGCCAGATGTGGCGTGAACTCTGGGGCGGCGCAAAAAAATAGCTGGGCAAAGTACTGATGATTTAACAGATACATGTGTGCAGCACCGTTCACTGCGTTCAGCAACATAGAGCCAGGTGCACCTTATTCCTCTGAATATCTGAAAGAGTCTGTATGTGTCCAGTATACGAAAAAAGGAGTGCACCTGGCTCCTTGATAGAGCCAGGTGCACCCATCCAATTTGGAATCTAATACAGGGAGGATGAACATGGTCCCTTGATACTAAAAAAAGGACATTGTATACAAATCAAGAAAGTTGGTTGAGCATTAGTCCTTCGGGACATCCGTTTAAATTGGAACGATATAGAGAATGAAGATTAGCATGGCCCCTGCGCATGTAGTTAGTAATGGAACAACGTGTATTTTAGGGCATCAGGCTCCCCCGTGCACGCACCGCCTCGAACTGGCACCCTCAGCCTCAGGAACGAAGTCTCGTAACCACTACAACCCTTGGAGGTGTTATAAAAACTGGATCCATACCGGTCGCGATATCCAGCCCACCTCCAGGGCTGTAGCGTCCTTGAACTCACACCACACACACACAACACCACACCACCGATACGGCAATCAACACACTCCGCTCTGACAACACGCAGCCCCACCACCGCTACTTAAACCACCAGTACTTGGCTCAGCTATCGGCCGCGGAAAGAAATAGAGTAGAAAGTACTAGAAACGTGTCTAGTTGGATGAATTTGGGCGCTCCTGTAGTAGCCCTTACGTTTCCTAAAATTGTGGCGTGTTAACGGGCACGACTTTAGGAAGTACTGGTGGTTTAACCTGGTGACTCCAAGGCGGGCCAACCGCCCGCGGGTTCCGCAGGCGCCTTCACAGTAGTTACTGAACAACGTGTATTTTAGGGCAAGGATGACATGCATAAATCGGGAAGTGGTCCAAATTATTTATAAAAAAAAAAAGTTGGTTGAGCACGTAAGTGGTGCACAGGAGACCGTGGGTTCGATTCCGCACGGCATCCATTCGATTCCCGACAACCTCCTGTGTGGCATACTTCGGGTTCACGGACTGAGAAAGTCGGCGAGAAAGTCGGCTTGTCCCTCCTGGCTGGTTGTGGAAGTTGCCATTCTTTCCACCCCGCACCACGTGTTAGGAGCTTGTGTGCTGCTCCCCGCACAGAGCAGAGTTAGGTAGGGGTAGACCAATAACCTTAGGATAGCCTAGGTCTGGTGGGTAGGAACAATTAACGCTGGTCCTCTGTCCAACATAGGGTAGTTGCTTCTCTCCTGAATGGATGGGTAGGGCAGAGATATGGGTAGCTAGTGTGGTTAGGTAGAGTGAGGCATATGAGTGAAGAATATAGCCTAGTTTATGAGGGGGGAAAAAAAAAAAAAAAAAGGAGTCTAATTATCTCTAATAGTCTATCAGTTCAGGAAAGGCCGAAAAAAAAAAAACAGAACCAAAAAAGTCTTTGAAAAGAGGAGTCTATCTGAGTGGTCTGCTACAATATGTTGCAGTTCCGATAATAAGCAGATCACTACCTGGGGAAGGTACCCACAGCTGGTGTTTAATAATAATAATTTAATAATAATAATAATAATAATAAACAAGAAGCTGCTCAGACTGTACACATTTATTTAGTAGACATTCTCAAAAGAATATTGGGAAAAGTTAGTTAAAAAAAAGAAAGTAATCCCTCCCGCAGCAAAACCTTTGTGTCCGTTTGCCGCCAAAACGGGGCATGAAGTCTGGGAGGCCCTCAAAAGGACCTGCACGTCATTTTTGCACCTTGATGCGACTCCTGACATTTCTCCATGGCAGTGTCACCTGCCCATCCAGGGTGCAAACATGACGTGCAGGTTCTGTTCAGGGCCTGCCTCTCAGACTTTGTACCCTGTTGGGGGAGAACGGGTAGAAAGGTTTTCCCGAGGGGGGAATTAATAAGTTAATAATATTTTTTTTCAAGAATATTTAGTAGACATTTTCAAAAAACTGTTCACGAACATTGATTCAAGAATCAAGATTAATCAATAGTGGGAAAGGCCACCACTGACAAATCAGACATGATATAAATAATGGGCCTCGCGGCCCTCGCCGCACTACTCACCAAATCCACAAAAGACAAAAATTACAGTGGTGCATCTTTCCATGTCCTTGTGGAAGATTCGTTCTCGTTCTGCACATTTGGTGAGTGGTGCAGCGAGGTCCAATGTCAAGTAGCACATTGTTGTTACAAGTCAGCTTCATGCGAGTGCAACCTACTTCACACGTGAGCAATTGATTGGAAACTATCACATTGGATCGGGATTTGGAAGCTTTGGAGAAACTTGAATTCCATTCACACTCTTGAAATACTTCATATCTAACGTGAGCAGACAAAGTTGATAAAAGAGAAATTCTTATGTGCACAGGGGTGCCCATCTGCGCAGATTACACAGAGTCGCACGTGCAAAATTAAGAGGTAGATTGCAAGGGCTGCCTTGCTATGGCTATGGCTGCACCCAATCTTCCTGCCCTTCGTCCTAAAGCTAACACTGCGTCTTCGCACTCAAGCAAACTTGGCAAGTGCAAACTTTGTTCGCTCTGCTGCCCAGCGCGTCAAATTTTGACAAGCCGCCTTCCAGCCTAGCCCGACGGGTCTTCCTGTTGGAAAAATCTAGATCTACCGTTTGAAAGGGCCAAAATTCCCTTGATAGGCGACTAGGACCGCAAGGGTATGGCTGTCCCCTTTTCTGCAGACGTTTCTCTTGCTTGAACTCGAGCTTGCCGGTGATAAGCAACCGGACTGATTGCCCAGTGATGCCTCAGAGCCTGACCGCATCACATGCGCTCATCACCCACCACCATTTTTTATGTCCCACTTCTTATCACTGGCCTCCCTCCTTTGTCCTCCCATTCCCAGTGTTGCCTATTCAAGTTGAACAACCCAGCGCAGCTATGGCTGCCGCTGTCTGGGCCGCTTGGCAGTAGCAGCCCTTATCCTTCGACTTCGTCAAGTCTCCGTCCGGCTGTTCCAGCTGCTATTTTTAGTGCTGCTGGCCAGCAAGTTGAGAATTGAAGAATGTCCCTCGGGCCTCAGCAGCGACCCTCGATGCTTTTGCCAATTGTGGGAGGCCGCAGTTGCTTCATCGGACTGAGCCTTTCGATCTCGGAAGCCTCCGGACAGCTTCCAAATCTCATGAGTCGGGGCAGTTACTTTTGCCCCGGTGGTTTCTTTGGCACCTTGGCCTGCACTCAGGGCCAGGCCAATATTGTGCAGGAGGCCCCTGGGTGCTGCGCAGGCCTGGAGTCTCACACTTCATTGCAGCTTCGATTAATATAAAATTATTCTACTGCTTGTTATGGTGGTTGGCCAAATGTTGAGCCCCTGGAGGGTCCATTTGTAGTACACTGGGCCACTGGCACAAGCCTGGGGAACGTCGGAAACACGGCTGCTCTACCATAGTTGGAAACTGTCACGACTTTGTGTGCTCTTATGCCCCCAGGACTGTAGGTAAAATAAGTGTATGATAATCTGCCCTTTTGCGTATACCTGCTACTAGCATGAATTCAGTCATGCATGTGGAGCAAATAACTAAATGCTGCTTCATGGCAAGTAATCAACTTAGAAGTTAGCACAGAGGCCACCTGGGGTGTGCCCTGCTACTAGCATGAATTCAGTCATGCATGTGGACCAAATAGCTAAATGCTGCTTCATGGCAAGTAATAATCTTCGAAGTTAGCACAGAGACCACCTGGGGTGTGCCCAGGCCCTCAGCCTCCCCTGCTTGGTAAACTATGAAGCTGGTCTCTTACTTGATCTAGGTTCACACTATGAAGCTGGTTTCTTACTTGATCTAGGTTCACACGAAGTCGATCTGAAGTAGTGAACGTGGCAGTGTAGCACAGAATGGCATCTGCCGTACCCAGGACATATCAAATTCTCCTCAGCGTGGAGTGTCGCTTGGAGATTTTCACCCACTGCTCAATTTCTCGCAATGGGCTGGGAAGCTTCAACGACAACGAATGTGTGTGAAGCCCCTGCAGCCACTGCCACAGCAGCACGGCTTGCAAGGGCCTCCACCTGCTCAGGAAGAAACCTGTTCTGTGTGAGAATGTTTTTTGAATCCGTTTTTCTTCCGAGCTGTCCATGCTGGCCCCTTCCCCATGTGAAAACAGCTCCCATCTCTGTAATCGCCACGGAGTGCCAGGTTCCGGCTGCAATTGATGTCACTTTGAGTCGTTTGCCGATCTGTTTGCCATTTACTACCGTCGCTGTGAGAATGACCTGCGCAGGTAGTTTGAAGGAAGAGAACCCATTATTGCGGCCAAGCTGACCGTAGTCGTTATTTCCCCATGAGAACAGCGAGCCGTCCTCTGAAAGGGCCAAGGAGTGATAACCCCCGGCAGCAACCATAATTATTCTGGAATGCAGCAATGCATCAATTTGTTGCGGAATTACCCGGTCCATGTTATCTTCCAGTCCAAGCTCATGGTTCGTGTTGTATCCCCACCCGTATACGACACCACTAGCCGTAACAACTAGCGAATGGTATTGTCCAGCAGCGATGTAGACCACCTTCTGGTCTGCCAAGTGTGAAACAGGTTGAGGGGAACTTCTGTCCTTATGATCCCCAACTCCCAGCTGACCATATAAATTTCTTCCCCAGCTATAGACAGTTCCCTTGGATGTCAATGCCAACATGTGGCTGTAACCGATGGCCATCATTGTTCCAGGATCTTCCAAATGAACCCTCTGCGGTACATCCACTGACACGGGCGAAAAGTCTCCTCTCCCTAGTTGTCCGTTGTTATTTGATCCCCATGTGTACACCTTTCCTGACTCTGTCAAAGCTCCAGAGGCAAACTGGCCTGCTGCAATGGAACGAAAAGGATCTTTTGCAAGCCAGGATACCAGTTGAGGGATGCACGTTCTTCCGCTGTTGTCCATGTCTCCTATTCCCAGCTGACCAAATGGGTTCCATCCCCAGGCATACAGCTTCCCAGAAGTCGTGACTGCAAGGCTGTGGCCTTGGTACTCATAGGCGTAACCGCCGGCAGCTATGTTCTTAATGCTCTCAGTGCCTTGGGCTATGGTGATGAGTTCCGGCTCTTGTTTGATGCTTTTCGTCGGTCGTTTTCCCATTTGCCCAGCGTTATTCTTCCCCCATCCATGAACCTCCCAGTTGTCGGTTACGATGAGATTGGCATTCGGGCCTGCTGCAACAGCCACTGCTCTCTTCAGGATCAGGACGGGAACAGGGGCGGGTAGTCCCGTGCTGTTCGCTGCATCTCCTCGTCCAAGGTTCCCTGCAAGGTTCGAACCCCATGAATATACCTTTCCGTCGATATCTATTGCCAAGGAATGGACATCTCCAGCTGCAATTTTGTCGAAGTGTGTTCCCTGCATCACCGGCCTGGGAAATGCAACAAACACTTCCGTGCCCGGTCCCAATCCTAGCTGGTTGACGCTGTTGTCCCCAAAAGAGAAGATTCCTCCATCCATAGTAAGCACCAATGAATGGACCTGGCCTGCTGAAACGGACTTAGCTTTGCTGGTCGCAAACGTTGGCAGCTTCTGAGGTAAAATGACATCCTCACCAACGCGGTCCTCCCCTAGTCCAAGCTGCCCGACGCTGTTCTGGCCCCAAACATAGATTTCATCTCGCACAATCACCAAGGTGTGGCATCCTCCAGCGGCTCCCTGGACGATGTGTGCACTTTTCTGAAGTTGCACCTGCACAGGATGAGAGTACTGGCTCTTATCACCCACTCCCAGCTGCCCGCAAGAATTGTCTCCCCATGCGAAGACGCTTCCATCTTTGGTCCAGGCGATGGAGTGGGTTGCCCCAGCTGCTATGCCATCTATTCGGATGTTATCATTCTCATTTCCGAAGGGTAAATGACAAGGTTTCAACACCTGATTTCCCACATCACCCAGTCCAAGCTGGCCCTTTGCATTGCTTCCCCAGACATAAACCTCTCCCGTTTTCGTTAGTGCAACAGAGTGAGTCTCCCCAGCAGCCACGTCCTTGAAGTCCAGATCGAATACTGAAGCAACAGGTGAAAATGAATGTCTGTCATGCAGGTCCCCCAGGCCTAGCTGGCCAAAGGTGTTATCTCCCGTAGCAAACAGTTTCCCCGGTTCTGCAAGCAACAATGTGTGGCCATCGACCTTTTGACTACCGCCGATCGATATGTGAGTGAAGAACTTTCCTTTCAACAAACTTATAACTGTAGGCGTAGAGCGGGTCATATAATCTGCAAGGCCCAACTGTCCAGCATTATTAAGACCCCATGCGTATACATCGAAGGTGAGCTTGGTATTATTGCGCCATGTAGGCAACGTCAAGCCTGCGGAAAATGTGGCTGCCTTCACCGCATCCGTTGATCCGACAACCAAAAAAACGAAGAAAACCGGAGTGGCAGAGAGTTGTTGTCTGCATGAAGCATAGAAGGAGGACATTACTGTTATGATTATTGTCAAGGCTGCTACAGTATCCAAGATCATGTTCATCCTGGCCAGACAGAGGCTCAGCTCCTCCACAGCCCCCCCAACTGCAACGTGCAATATAGAAACAGACAGCTGGCAGGTTGCTTGCCTCATAGACCGCATCACAGAGATGACTCGTACTTCCTCTCCCTCTCCCTCTCCAGGAGCGACACCTAGTGTCTGCTCCCCAATGCTTCTGACTACCGCCGATCGATATGTGAGTGAAGAACTTTCCTTCCAACAGACTTATGACTGTAGGCGTATACCGGGTCATGTGATCTTGCCTCATAGACCGCGTCACAGAGATGACTCGTACTTCCTCTCCCTCCCCCTCTCCCTCTCCAGGAGCGACACCTAGTGTCTGCTCCCCAATGCTTCTGACTACCGCCAATCGATATGTGAGTGAAGAACTTCCCTTCCAACAGACTTATGACTGCAGGCGTATACCTGGTCATGTGATCTGCAAGGCCCAACTGGCGACTGTCGGAGATGTGGCCTCGCTCCTCCCACTGCTTCCTTCGGCTCCTTCCCCCTGGTCGTGTTCTGCGCTGGCTATGGCTGAACGACGACGCTGGGGACTGCTTCTGCTGCACAGGAGACGCGAAGACGACGCGGCGATGGGCAACACACGGCAGGCGCGAAGGACGACACAACTTCAGGGGCACAAAGGTGGGCTGTCATAAACAATGCAGGGTGCTGTCTGGGATGCTGGGTGCAGCTATCTGGTACCGTCAATCTGTTCATCTCCTTCCTCTTCAAGACATTATAAGAGTCGCACGTGGTAGATGGCACTTGGTCTTCCCTTCCACTGCCGTGCTTGTCTCGGCTGCATGATTCTATCAATCTTCACTGGCGATGTGTTTGATGGAGTGGAAAGAAAGGTACAAGGGGCGTCTTTGCTTGATGTCTGCATACCCATCCATTGTTTATGTATTCTCCTCCTTCCTGCAAGTCTGGACGGAGTATAAGGCATCGACTTAGATGCACGAAATACCGGATGTGTCCTTCCTACTACTCAGATGACGAGGAATGTTTTCAACGTACTAGGGCCCGTCGGGATCTTCACCAACAACATTTAGTCTTGCCCAAGGTCCACACCACTTCGTTAACAGCTTTCTAGAGACGCCCTCTGCAGCGGACTCATCTATGGCTAGCATCTGTCACGAGCATGAAGGGCAACACTTGTCAGCCCATAGAGTATTCTTCTTGGGGGGATTTGTCAGTAGTGCAGCAATCATGGCACATGAGCTTCTTGTAGCATTTCATCATGTCAAGAAATTATCACAGCTCAGTGACTATTGCCAGTTTGTCACCAGTCTACAACGGCTTCAACTTTCCTGGCCTCAGTCTTTCCCAAGTAGAGGAGATCATGTACTTCCCCTCCCTCCACCATTTGGATACGATTGGCAGGTGCTCCAAGCATTTCTCATAAGATTTGCTGAGCTAGAGTATGTCGTCGAGGTAAACCACGTCCAGAATGAGGTAGTCCCTGAGCAAGTCATCCCAGGCTCACTGAAATGTTGCAGGTGAGTTCGTTAACGTCATTGCCTAAACCATCAGTACATCTGGAGAATCCAAATGAGCCTCTCCGAAAATTGAGGGGACTCGGGACAGGGCCCACCTGGGGGTGGCGGAATTGTTTTTTTTTGCGCAGGGCTGGGCCTAGTGCCGCCCCACAGCATGGAAAATTTGTTTTTCTACATGCCCTTTGGACGCCCTGTCCCGATCCTCCTATTTTTTTTGGAGAGGCTCAACCAGATTCTCAACTTGGCTGAGGCCATGTACAGGTCCTTTAAGCTCGTACAATCCTAATGCAATCCTGAAGAACATGTGGCAAATGCTTAGGCAGAGTAGCTTTCGTTTGTACAATGATTACAGATGCCTAGGTAGGTAAGTTAAGTAGGCTGTGGTACGAAGTCCCTGGTAGACAACAGTTACAACAAGCTCCAGCAAAGAACAGCAGAAGTCGTTAGGCCAAGTGTCAGTCAGTCCAGTCAAGCAGCCGGATCCAAGGAAATCCGTGAACTTCCGGAAGCAGCAGACAAAGGCAAGGGAACCAAGTTCAACCAACCCATTACCAGCAAAGGAACTCTAGAAGACGGATGTAGAAATACATTATGCTTCGCACTCAATGCGGAAGCGTTGCTGTACTCTTGTGTGTTACAGTGACGGCTGAGCGAACGAGAGTGAGAGTAGGGCAGTCGCGTCAACAGTAGTGGGTGCCATAGCCATAGCTGTAGTATGTGTGTGTGTGTGTGTGTGTGTGTGTGTGTGTGTGTGTGTGTGTGTGTGTGTGTGTGTGTG